CAGCAGCAACATTATTAGCATAGTTGCTGTGAGTGCTCGGTTTCTTAACTGATGACATCAGACCCCTTCTACAGGTTGGTCGGAGGGCTTATCCTGCACAAAATTCAACTATTGTAAATCTACAATGTTTCTATTGTCGAAGCATCCTGGCCGTTTCGGCTTCCATCTGGCTATGTATACAACATTTATACACAAAGTTTTTAGACTCAGGGTATTATCATTATAACTAGGCGCGCCCATTCGCACGCCCAGTAGGCAAACGACTATTTACTAGTCTGGACCAATATTTCCTACTTTTGACACGAAAGCGTTACCATGACTGACATTTGCATCCAATCAGTATTGATTTTGACACCGGGAACCGAAGACAGACATTAGTCGGTCATTTTTGATCGCCGGTGTCTAAAGGACACATCTGTCCTTTGTTACTATCGTGTACCACAGCGTGTGTTTCATAACAAGTCACGTGCGCGGCCGATTCGTCAAACAAATGACTTTGTGTACCTTGGAGTGTTATGTGGTGTACTGCGGATGATGTAGAGGTATCTGCTACGTTTGTGTTCTCTTTTCTCAAGCCAGCACGTGGGCATGACGGAACATCCAAATTGCGGTCGAACTGACATTACTACAACTAATACTGCTACTGCTGCTACTACTACTACTCGGCTATGAGGCACCTAAGTCTATCACGACATGCAAAGAGTCGTCACTTGGGAGACTGTCAACCAACGGGATTACTCATCCTTTCTCTAGACTGAAAGTCGAGCTGCAATGCCTCCCTGGCACTCTTATGTATATGAGCTCCGATCCTCCCTCGTGAAGACCTGGGGCATTTTGAGGGAGCAGGTCATGTGTGGGGCATGTAGACAGACCGTTTAGCTTTCTCAGTCACTCTCCACCTCTGTCCGTTTAACCGTCCGAACCAGGTGGGCAGAGGCACAGAGAGTGAGATGGATGCTACGCAAGTCTGATTCATTGTAAACAAATTCCCATGACAGTAACCTTCCTCCTCCAGCTCTATGGTCACATGGTGGACGTCGTCTTTACGATGGTCGAATTATCGCAAG